CCCATCACTTTTTTCTGATAACTTCATGTACTCTTTCTTCTTCTTTTATTTTTTTTATGGAGCTTTTGGCTACTCTAACATTCCCCCCTCTAAAGAGGCAACCCTAAACTCTTTTACGGATTAGATAAAAGCTTCCAAATACTTTCAACACTTTTAGCCTTTGGAACAGAGTATGTTGCTAAGAGGCCCAAGGACATTTTGAGTTTTAGCCGAGAAACTGCCTACTTTTCTTTGGGGTCTTTTTACCCTAACTGCCCAGCCAATTCCTACTTCCTATTCTTATCACACCATCCTCTGAAGAGGTTACCCAATGTGCCAATAGGAAATCGGGACACAGACCGCTCTGGATTCTTCCATGCTGTACAGGGACGCAGGGTGAAGCAATTGGAGTACCCCTTCAGTGGGTCTATCTAAAAAACTACCAAATTGTGTAACTCTTATCTGTAGGGGGAAAACAAAGTCCTTGACTGGTGAATAGAAGATGTGAAGGAGAAGTAAAGGCAAGAGTAATTAGCATTACAAGACCTAGAGAGGGAACTAGAAAAAAGTCAGAACGCCAATTTTCAAATGCTCATATGAGAGTCCATTGGAATTTCTTGACGAGGGCTTCCAAAAGCATCCCTCTATGGGGTTCCTCCTCATTTTCCTTTTCTTTCCCAAAGCTGGACTCGAGAGTGATGGGTTCAGGATTTGCTTTCAGGTATTTTGATAGCTGTTGGAGTGGTTAAAATCAGTGTCATTTCCCTTAAAAGCTTCTAGATAGGGGGAGAAAACAAATTGATCCATCATTTTAGAACAATACTGGGTTATCTCCCTTAACTACAGGTGAGCACTACAGTACTGCAGACCAAGATTTGAAGTCTTACATCTGAGCAGCACTTTCTGATTAGGAACAAAATCATCAATGAAAAATAATTGTCTAAATAACATTGTATGGACTTAAGCTTAATGTCTGGGAAGTGTAATCCCTTGAACTCTTCAAGAACTATACTGATCACTTTACTCTTTGGTACACTTTACACTTTCCTTTTGGATGTTTAAGATCATACAGTTGGCCCAAATAAAGCAATTTATTTTTAGACTTAAGATCATTTGAGGATCTCTTCCTCAGGGGTCACACGGGCTTGGGAGGAACTCCTGTCTCCTTTCTTTTACCAGTTCCATCTATGTAAAGATAAGTCAAAGGTCCTGCTTGATGATGGCTGGCTTCTCTTGGAAGCATGGAGGAAATGTTTCTCCTGAGTTGATCCTCCTCTTTGTAGATTGCACACTGGTTTAAGTCCATCTCATGGGGTCTCCATGGCCTCCCTGAACAAGAGGACAGGTGACTCACCACAGTTACAGGACATTTTGAAAGATGTTCCATAGTCCCCTGGAACTTAATCAACTCTGGACGGCAAGGGACAAAAACTGTCCTTTAAGTCCCTCTGACCAGATTAGTATAGGCTTTAAAGTATGGCTATTAAACATCCAATAAGATTAGTTCCACCAGTCTGGTACTTTTAATTACCATGTGCTATGTAGATAAAGCTTGGATAAAAAACCAAATATTCTCAGATAAACCTTGACTAGATACGTATTTTGTTCCTTAAAATAGTTGACTAAACTATAACCTTAGAAATTTTAAGATTACGTGTATATTATTTTTTTCCTCATCCTTTATATGTCATAACAAACCTACACAGACCTTCATCACTTGCTTAGGCTTTCTCATTTTTTCTATTTTGGAAAATATCTCCAGTCCCATATCCTTTTAACATCTTTTACATTCTCATTTTCTCTCTTTTTTTTTTAATAATTATGAGACATAATAGAATTAACAAATAAATGTTCCATCTGTTGTGAGACTTCTTTTCCTGGGGATACTAAGCAATTCTTATTCCCTTTTAAGGTTCTAGTGTCAAGCCAATGTTTGATTAAAGTTTTACTGGGGACACAATGAATTTACTGAGCTTACTTACTGAGATAACTGAGAGGTTGCTGAGGTGTATGTATGACCTGAGGTTACACACACTGGAAAGCCTTTGCCCAGCATGGGTCATGCCTTCTTTTCCTAGCCTTCCTCAGATTGTATACTTTAGCCCTCCCCCAAATCCAGGAGACCATGTGTGATTAGGGCCAAATTACATACAGTTGGATGGGAAGAGTGGCTGCATACTCCAGTGAGGGTCCAATGACCCTGCTTGGCCCTCTTTTAATGAATGAGCACAACTGTCAACAAGCCCAGTTGTGACAATGTTTAGCAATCTGGCACAGCTGAAGTTGTGATGATGGTCGTTATTTCATGCAGAAGAGACTGCTGTACAGGACAGCATAATCTTATTAAAAGGACTTGGAATTTAAAAGCTTTTGGTGCTAGGATCTACATATGAGGGAGAACATACGTTGTTTGTTTTTCTGAGTCTGTGTTATTTCACTTAGTATAATAGTTTCTAGATCCATCCATTTACCTGCAAATTTCATTATTCTGTCTTACTTTACTGCTGAATGGAACGCTATTGTGTAAACATACCACATTTTTGTTAACCACTCCTCAGTTGAGGGGCACTTAGGTTGCTTCCATCCCTTAGCTATTGTGAAAAGAGAAGCAACAAACATGGTTGTACAAGTGTCTCTACAATAGGATGAGTCCTTTGGGTATAGGCCAAGGAGTGGTATAACAGAGTCAGTCATATGGTAGGTTCATTTTTAGTTTTTTAAGGGTTCTCCACATTGCTTTCCATAGAGCTTGCATGAGTTTGCAATCCCACCAGCAGTGAATGAGCATTCCTTTTTCTCCACATCCTCACCAGCATTTAGTATCATTTGTTCTCTTGATCCTAGCCAGTCTGATTGGGGTAGGGTGGTTTTAATTTGCATTTCCCTGATTACTAACGATATTGAACAGTTTTTGAGATGTTTCTTAGCCATCTTTATTTCTTCCATTGAAAACTCTCTGTTTATATCTTTAATTCATCTTTTAATTGGTAGATTTGGTTTCTCGCTTCTTTGTTTTTTGAGTTCTTTATATATTCTGGATGTTAAACCTCTGTCAGATGTGTCACTGGTGAAGACTTTTTCCCATTCTGTGGGTTTTCTCTTCACTTTTTTGATTGTTTCTTTTGCTGTACAGAAGCTTTTTAGTTTAATGAGGTCCCACTTGTCAATTGCTGACCTTAATTCCTGAGCAACTTCTGTCCGATCTAGAAAATCCTTTCCTACACCTATATCTTGTAAGTTACTGCCAATATTTTCTTCTAATACTTTCAGGGTCTCCAACTTCACATTGAGGTCTTTGATCCATTTTGAGTTGATTTTTGTGCAAGATGAAAGATATGGATCTAATTTGATTCTTCTACAGGTGGAGATCCAGTTTGTCCAGCACCATTTGTTGAAGATGCTGTCTTTCCTCCATTGTGTGTTCTTGGCACCTTTGTCAAATATCAGGTGGCTGAAATTGCATGTACTCAGATTTGGTTCTTCGGTGATGTTCCATTGATCTATGTGTCTATTTTTGTGCCTGTAACATGCTGTTTTTATGACTATAGCTCTGTAGTATACTTTGAGATCTGGTATAGTAATCCGCCCAGCGCTGCTCTTTGTACTCAGGGTTGCTTTGGCTATTCGGGGTCTTTTGTGCTTCTATACAAATTTAAGGATTTTTTTTTTCTAATTCTGTGAAGTATGTCATGGGGATTTTGATTGAGTTTGCATTGAATCTATATATTGCTTTTGGTAGGATGGACATCCATTTCAATCCATTTGCTTAGCCTGTATCTTTTGACTGGGGAGTTCAGTTCATTGATATTTAAGGTTATTATTGAAAGGTGTGTATTGGTTGCCATCATTTTGATTGCTGTTTGTGTTCTCTGTCTAATTTTGTGTTTCCTCAACTGTACTTTTATTTATTTTCTTTTGTTGCCCTGGCGTATAGTTGTTTCTCTCTCTGCTCTCTGTATTGCTTCAAGTATTCTTTGAAGGGCTGGTTTTGTGGACATGTATTCTTTCAGTTCGTGTCATGGAAGATTTTTCTTTTCCCCTCAAGTATAATAGACATTTTTCCTGAGTAAAGTGTTCTGGGCTGGCATCTACTGTCATGTAGAACTGGAAATACCTTGGTCCAGGCTCTTCTGGCTTTCATAGTTTGCATTGATAACTCAGCTGTAATTCTGATGGGCTTTCCTTTGTATGTGACTTGTTTTTTCTTTTGCTGCTTTCAGTATTCTCTCTTTGTTCTACACATTTAGTGTTTTTATTATGCTATCTCCTGGAGAGTTTCTTTTCTGATCCTATTTGGTGTTCTATGTGCTTCCTATATTTGTATGGGGATGTCTTTCTTTAATTTCAGGAAATCTCTTCTACAATTCTATTTAAGATCTGGTCAACACCATCAACCTGAAATTCTTCCCCTTCCTCTATTACTATGATCCATAGATTTGGTCTTTTCATGGTACCCCACATCTCTTGCATATTGCATTCCTGTGTTGTTGTTTTTTTAAATTTTCCATAATCTTTGCTTGAGTGGTCCAGTTCTTCAACCTGTTCCTCCAATGTTGATATTCTGTTTTCCATTTCATTCATTCTAGAGGTGAGGCTTTCCCCTGTTGTTTCAAGTTAGCTTATTGAGTTTTGCACTTCCTTCCTCATTTCTGCCCGAGTTTTCTTTAATGTTTCTATCTCTTTTGTGAATCCATTCAGAAATTTATCCCTATCTTCTTTCAGCTCTTTGATTTGTTTGTTCATGTGTTCTTTAAATTCATTGAATTCCTTGATCATGTTTATGATTGTTCTTTTAAAGAGTTTAGTGGGAACATAGTGTTTTGGCTTTTCATTTTATTATTCTTTTGTTGTGATTTTGGCATGTGAATTTCTTTTCACATGTTTATGATTCTGATGAGAATTAAGTTGAAGTATGCTTCTGTATTATCAGGGTGCCTAGGTCCTTTCCTTTTTGGTTAAGGTTAAAGCTGGTTGGTACAGGTTTCAGGTTCTCTCCAGTTTTATTTTGGAGGGAACACATGGCTTCAGATCATCTATTCAGGAGCACCCACAGAAGCCCAAGTCAGGCTCCAGTCAGGTACACTCAGGCTTCCTTTTAAGGTTTGGACCCCTATTAGCAGGAACTCAGAGAAAATTTGGGAAATTTCCTAAGGGCGGGGCAATTTGGGGACTCTCACTTGGTCTGCTGTGTTCTCAGCCCCTATGCCAGGGGGAGGCCAGAACCTGGCACTCTCTGGCAGTCTGCTGAGATCACAGAGGCTACACTGATGGAGGCCCACCCTCTCAGGCTGTCTGCTAGGATCTCAGCCTTAGCCTACCAAAGCAAGGTCTGCCCTGGGGCCTTGGGAGGGGCCTCAGGAAATCCCAGGTAGGGAGATGGGTATGATGCAATTAGGGGAAGCTCACCACCACATGGAGGCAGGACTGGGCACTTTCAGGCAGTCCCCTGTGTTCTCAGCCCCTATGCCAGAAGGAGGCCACAACCCAACACTCTCTGGCGGTCTGCTGAGATCACAGCAGCTACACCGATGGAGATCGGAGCCCACCCTCTCAGGCTCTTTTAAATATATTTTCACAAATTAAGTTTCAGTCAAACCAGGATCAGATTGTGAGTTTCCTATCAGAAGAGTCCAAATGTTAATACCTTTCATGACTAAATTTATAGAATCTGTGGATTTTGTTTGTTTTGCTTTTTTCTGGGGTTTTGTCTGGGTTATTATCACTTGTTTTTTTTTTAAGACAGAGTCTCATTATGTAGCCCAGGCTGTCCTCAAACTTGTGGTCTTCCTGCCTCAAGGTGCCTGGTACTAAGCATATTTAATTCTTCCTTTAATTGAAAGTAATGTACTAAACCACACTAAGTATAAGAATTAGCACTTTTCCATGTTAGCTTTGAGAATAGTTTGTGGACCTCCTACGATTGACCATCCAGTTACTTATTTTGAGAACACTTTGTTAGACATGCCTTTAGCCATCCTATAATATGCAGACTCATTGTCTTTCATATGCATATGGAAGCCCAAAAAGCTTGCAATCAAAATCTAACCAAAATGTCCCTAATAGAACATGCACAGCTCCTACAGGTTCATTAGAAACAGTGTGTGGCTGGACAGCCCAGTTGAGTCTCATGACTTCTCTTTCAGACCTCGATGAATGTCAAACCAAGCAGCACAACTGCCAGTTCCTTTGTGTCAACACCCTCGGCGGGTTCACCTGTAAATGTCCACCTGGCTTCACCCAACATCACACTGCTTGCATTGGTAAGGCAGGATTATAAGCAAGGTATTTTACAAACTTTTTGGAGGTGCATAATTTGTATTAAAATGGTTGCTAAATTATATCCTCATACATTTAGAACCAATTTTCAGATAATAGTGGTATTTTTCTACAAAAAGAATATCCGAAAAGAAAAGCGTCTATACAGGCATTTTGTACAGTAGATGTGTTGTGTACGGTGCCTCAGTATCACATTTTAAACATAGTTGTGGTGTTCAGATAAAATACAACTAAAGGCAAGGGATTATATGGAATTTTTCCATTTTATTTTCAAAGGCATATGTTAAGAGATTTTCAGCCTTTATTCTCCAAAACTGTGCTTTCAGTAACTCTAAAATGAACCTAGTTTCAAATGATTTGAAAATACACTTTTTATTAGCACTTTGGCCTCTACTATGACAATAAATTTTTGTTTAAGTTACTATAAAATGCTTTCTCCACATAATGAAATCTTAGCCCACCAGTGTGTTTCATGTAGTGCATATACATATACTGCATACTGAGAAGTCTGACTTTTTCCCTCCATTTTGGTTCTTTGTTAGACAATAACGAATGTGGGTCTCAGCCTTCACTTTGTGGAGCCAAAGGAATCTGTCAGAACACCCCTGGAAGCTTCAGCTGCGAGTGCCAAAGAGGATTCTCTCTAGATGCCACTGGGCTGAACTGTGAAGGTGAGTTCACATGCTCAGGAGTCCTTAACCTTGGAGCTGGGGAGATGGCTCAGAAGGAAAAGCACTTGCCCTGTAAGCCTGGCAGACTTCAGATCCCCAGCACCCAAGTCAATGTCAGGTGAGCTTGGCGGTCAGCCTGTAATCCCAGTGCTCTAGAAGCAGGATGGTGTCCCTGCAGCAAGCTGGCTAGCTGGACTAAAGCAATTGGCAAGCTCAGGGTTCAGTGAGAGATCCTGCCTCAATATATAAAGTGGAGTACAGTGGAGGAATGCAGCCAACATCGATCTTAAGTATTCACACACATGCATGTCACACATATGAACACAAAAAAGAATCCTTAATTTTAAAAGTTTTATATAAATATATATTTTTTAAACTCCAAATCATTAAGAAATTGCAATCATCCCAGAAAAAGAGTATTTAACAAAACAGGATCTGACAACTGATTTTTTTATTTCACATGCATATTCATGTGGGGGGTACATATGAGACAAGGGGAATTTATATGTGTGCATGCATGTGGAGGCCAGAGGACAATCTCAGGTGTGATCCTTCAGATGCTGTCCACCCTTTTTCTGAGACATGGTCTCTCACTTAACCTGGAGTTCACTGAGTAGACTGAGCTGGCCAGCAATCCCTAGGGGTCGACTGCCTCTATCTCCCAGTGCTAGGATTGCAAGCATGTGCCACAACATTCAGCTCTTTTTATCTGGGTTCTGGTGATCGAACTCAGGTCCTTGTATGTGCAAGGCAAGCACTTTATGAACTGAGTTATCTCTCCAACCCATAGTGATTGAGTTTTGTTAATAAATTTTCATATAGCATTTTGGGGACACAGAAAAACTTGACTGTGATAAAACAAAAATTCATTGATTAAAACCAGGCATGGTGGCATATGCCTTTGATCCTAGCACTTGTGAAGCAGAAGCACACCTGCCTCTCTGAATTTGAGGTCAGCCTGGTCTATATAGTGGGTTCCAGGCCAGCCAGAGCCCAGAGCTACATAGTGAGACCCTGTCATAGATTTTATATATATATATATATGAATGTGAATTAACTTTTAAAATAACCAAACTTTTTAACTAATCGTTAACCTGAAATGGATTGAAAAAGAATTTTGGCCCTAATGTGCCAGTAGTATATATATATCAGAATTCATTGGGATTTTATTCTAGGACACTTAAATGTATAAAACTTAGGTGTAAAAGAGGGAATAGAAAAATTAGAGGAATGCACTGGGAGAAACTGATGACTGTTCGTTGTTTATGGATTGAAATTCCTGCCCCACGCTCCTTTCTCCAATGGCATTTCCCACAATGCCTCTCGTGAAATAGCTATTTTCTCTTCCACTGTCCAAGAGAACATTTGAGTGGGAACAAGGCAAGAATCTGCCTGCACTCAAAAAACAATCATCTAGGTCTTCAATATTTATACCGCAAGTGCTAGGGTATAATAAGGTGTTAATGTTGGCGTTGGCTTGCCTTGAGGGTAGAAGACTATATGCATCACCTTTCCTTTTTTTTTTTTGGTCTTTTTGAGACAGGGTATCCCTGTAGCCCCAGCTGTCCTGGAACTCACTATGTGGACCAGGCTGGCCTTGAACTCACAGAGATCTGCCTGCCTCTGCCTCCCAAGTGCTGGGATTAAAGGTGTGCACCACCACGCCCAGCCACCTTTCCTTTTTTTTATATTGTATTACAATTTATATTACTCCAGAAACAAACTCAATATATTGATATGTACTTTATAAGAACTACAGGACTTTTGTACTTATCTGTTTTCAGTCAAAATTTTTATGTTAACTTTAATATTTGAGATCATGGAGGCATTGTAAGTATTCAGAACCCACAGCTGTTTGCCACGTGTGAATTCAGCTCGTGATCATCCACATAAGATACCATTTATTAATTATTCATGTAAATTTGTTACACATACATCAGACGTGCCAGTCGTATTTCACTCTTTTGGGGTGGATTTCAAAGCTTCAGTTGTCATTCCAAAAGTATATGCATATATGGACAAAGAAATCATTCCATATGTATAATACCACATCTTGCCTAAAAATAAGAATGCATTCAAATATGTAAAAAGGAATTCGCATCTAATTAGTCTTGAATGGCAATAAAAATTTTTGCATGCAAAGCCATTATACTTTTTAGGTATCTCTATAGTGTTTGGATCTTCCCCACAACAAGGATTACATGTGAATCATTTGAATCAGCTAGAATCTGTAATGCAAATACATATATAAATTTACCAAATAAATCATACCATATGCAGTTAATCAGTCCAAAATCTACCACATTTGTGGTTGTTATGGTTGATTTGCTGAAATTAAGCTGCATTCAGAGCACTGGCGCACCATGGTCTGGTGGAAAGCATAAGAACAAGGTGGTTTCTTATCTCAGAGCCATTCTTTGCACCACCTCTGACTAATAATTATGTGACACGGGAGAAAATCACAGTCTCTCTGTGCCACGTCCTGTTTATTTGCCCCCCGCCCCCAAAGCTGTGTTTGGAATGCATTTAACAAGAGCAGCAGAAAGGGAGTGTAAAGATTCTACTTGGACTGTTTTTATAGATGTGGATGAATGTGACGGAAACCACAGGTGCCAGCATGGCTGCCAGAACATCCTGGGAGGTTACAGGTGTGGCTGTCCACAGGGATACGTTCAGCATTACCAGTGGAATCAGTGCGTTGGTGAGCTTGCTTTGCTTTTCTCACTTGGCTATGTGAATAAACTGAACAAATAATACAAAGTGGAGTTTTAGTATAGAGTCCTAAGATTAAAAACCATATTTAAGTCTGTATGTGCGAATGCTAGCATGTAGCTCAGTGATAGAGCACAGACCTAACATGGGTAAAGTCCTGGGTTCCATGCCACCCTCACTCCCTGTTAAAAAGGCAGATGGGGGAAGTATGGATTAAAAACACTGATACAAGTGGTGCTGGGACACTGGCTTGTGACAGCACCATGCGGCCAGACTCCCCTCCAGTCTGAAGTGGGCCTGGATCCCCCACCATCCCATTGTGCACCTGGTCCCCTGCCGACATGGAGAGCGAAGATGAGCAGCTGAGCCAGTGACAAGCTGGGCACCAGTCTCCTCTGGAGACTGAGAATTTGCCAACGCTGGATATACCTCTGTCTTCCGGAAACCCTGGCGTACATCAACCACTGAGCATTTGACATTTTCCAGTGATATTGAGGTCCCATCTGGGATCTGCTGAGGCATCCAGGCAGAATGTGGGTGAAGGGGAGTCACAGTTCATTATGTCACTACCTGAGCACAGTGTGAGCTATTTCCCCCAAGTGACTCCCACCCCTTCCAAGACTTACTGTCAGAGAGCCTCACCCCCTCAGCCAGGGAGTATGATTGGCAGCGGGTCCCACATGATACCCTTAGGAAGACCAGGTACCTTAGGAGTGGCCATGACCTTCAGTGAGAATCTGATCCCCTGCAGTGGCCTGCCAGTCCCAGCTTCCACCAGAATCTCAATGATGTCTCACAGCAGTGCCCCAACAATGCCTTATTCTGGCCCCACAACAGCAACTTCTACCACAGCCTCTTTAACACAGGAAATGTTATTGGCACCATGTATGTCTTCCACTGAGGCCCAGGCTATCCTCCCCTCTATGGATCAGATGCTGCACTCTAGAAATCTTTATGGTCCTGAGGTGCCCTCAGCTGGGCTTCAGCCACTGATGACTTTAGAATCCCAGGATTCACTGTTGAACCAGTCAGACTGCCAGGAAGACCCTTTCTTATGTGAGCAGCCTGCACCAGCTCCACAGAGTACAGAGTATTCGGAGCTCCGGGGGGGGGCACCCAGAAGGGAATCCCCAGTTTTGAGGCCTTTCTCCTGCCAGTACAACAACTGTGGAACAACTAAGCACTTATACCAAGCGCTCCCACCTCGCGAGTCACCAATGCAAGCACACAGGTAGAAGCCCCACAAATGCAGCTGGGAAGGCTGTACCTGGTCTTTCTTCCGCTCTGATGAGCTTGGACGACATATGCGGATCCACACCAAGTATAGACCACATAGATGTGACAAGTGTGGCCGACAGTTCATGAGATCTGACCATCTCAGGCAGCATCAGAAGACTCATTAGCAAATGTCAGAATCCCTACAGCCTCAGGTCAACACTGGACAGGCAGAGGGTCCTCTTGCTTCTGACCGGGAGCTTTAGGTTCACCTCCTTCCTCTCCTTTTGACTTCTCTAACCCAGGATCCTCTTGCCTCGCATTGGCTCATCTCTGGGGTGGGTGAAGGTTCAGATGGAGATAGGAAGTGGTGGTGAAACCAGAATGAAGCTCTGGATCCCATCATGGATTTTTCAAAGCCCAAAATGGGCTTTATGCCCTCGGCCCCCAGGGACCTCTAACTTCTGCCATTTAGATTGGGAAAATGAAACACAGAGAGGAAAGCTTCTCTCATGTCGCTCCCCAGCTGGAAACCCTTCAGGGTCTCTTGTTTAACTGCTCCATGAAACCCACATTCTCTACCCGATTCTTCCACAGTTTCTAGAACCAGACTATGTTCGAACTATGAGATTATCACTCACTAGCAAATGTTCTTGGGAAAGGTCTTTGAAACTATGCTTTATTATGCCTGGAAACAAAAACAGTGGCCCTGGACATGTCATATGTATGTCAGAATCTCCCTGATATTGAAAATTTACATGCCTAGAGTTCCTGTCTCTTCCTATCAGACTTGGATGGAACATCCCACCTTGAAACATGGCATCTGGAATTCCGTGTGACTGCACAACTGAGCCTCGTGGGGAGCTGATGCTCAACTGGGCAAAAACTCACTAATGCACTGTGGGAGACAGAGAGCCAGGCAGAGAAATTCTGCCTCCTCTCCTTCCCATGCATTGTTGCGGGATGCTGTCCCCCACATGCAGCCTGTGGGGAGACCTCCCGGGCAGTCAGTGACCACACCTGCCTCCTCAAAGCTAGTCATGAAGCAGTCCCAGAGTGGAACAAGTCACTCATTCCTTCCCATTCTTCTTGGGCCCATTTGCATGTTCTCACTCCTGTGCCTTGGCTTTTAATATCCAAATAAAAGATCAGTATTTAAAAACATTGATAAGCAATGGGGTGTTATCTACTAGTCTCTGTACTTGGGCTTGTAACAATATCCATAATAATCATGTTTTGAAGTGCTTCAAGGTAAATCAACTGGAGGTTTAACCATTTTAATTTCTGATGTGATTTAAAGTTTCTGAGGAGTCTGTCAAAACTCATCATCTTCATTTACCAGGATTTGCTACTTTTGACCAGTGACTTGATAGATCAGGGCATTTAAATAATTGCACCTTCTTGAAAAACTAAAGGATTTTCCCCTGTTTTTGAAGCAGAGTCTCATTAACCCAGTCTGCAGCCTGCTCTGTAGCCTCAGGCTGACCTTGAACTCTAGATCCTGCTACTCCTTCCCAGTGCTGGGTCGCAGGTACGCACCAGCACACCTGGCTAGGAATTGTTACCACTGAGGACAGTCCACCCATGCGCTCCTGTCAAATAGGTTTAATGAAGGTTGTACAGTGTTTTAAGATCAAAAAGGGAGCTAGTTACAACAAATACTGCCAACAGCTCCAGACAGAAATGTTTATAAAATGCTGTAAAGCACACAGGCATTCACTTCTGCTTCTTGCATCGATAATAATCATGGAAATTGTACTCTTAAGAAACCACTGATCAAAGAGAGAATTATTCTACTCAGCTGGCTTACTTAGCATATGCCCAATTTCTTGGCTCCATTTGAATCACTCCAGAGCCATACTGTCCAGCACATTTTGAGTAGACGCTTGCATTGCCAAACAGAAGGGAAGCAGTGGGCTGGTGGAGAGTGGCAGGAGGCATCCTGTTTCTCTGTAGTGACTTACATTACTGCACACATTATTCAAATGTAGCACTGTTATAATCCACTAAATAACTTAATCGATGTTATCTTTTATGTTTGAGTTCAATTTAAGACGGTAAGGTACGTCGAAATTTCCCTTTGTCTGATCCTTGAGGTGAATGCTTTAGCAAAACCACCAGAGTCCAGCCCAGGGCCTGAGTGCCTTCTGGTTAGAGATGCAGACTAATAGTGCTTTCAAAAATGAGGTATGGGAGAGTGTGCCTGAAATCCAGGCACCCAGAAGCTGAAGCAGGAGGATCTCAAGTTTGAGGCCAGTAAGCTCCTATCTCAGAAACAAAACCAACAAGGAATAAAGGAAGGAAGTTAAAAATTGGTCCAAAGAAACTGCATACCAAGCAAGTATCACTAACTGCAGGCGTTAACTTTCTCTTCTTAAAATGATTATCTCTAAGCAGTGCACCCCTTAGTAGACACAGCAGAGATTAATTTCCAAAGGCTCTGGATCCTTCTATGCAGGGGTAAGGCATCCACCTAATGAAATTGATGCCATTGTTGCCCTGAAACCATATAACATAATTGGAGTTTTAACTTTATATGACAGATATAGAGTGAAATAACCCCAATCCGGAAGCAAATAAAAGCACCAAGTTAACATAAGAGTAAGAATGATGACAAAGTGCAGTGATCTGTGACTACTATATAAATGCCTTGAGTTATCCACATGACTGATGGGAGAGTACAGAAAAGCATACAAGTAGTTTTATCTGAGTCTCCTAGAGAACCATCAAAACTGTCAGTCAATGCCCCTGATTCTTAAGTAGACAAAATTGTGGTTTATGATGCTATTTCTATTACTACCAATTCAAGAAAAATAAAGTTCTTTGAAAGGGTTAATACTGAAAAAAGCTTTCAATTCAAACTAACTTTAGTAAGTTTCCACTAGGTACCACAGAGAATTTGCATTCTAGGAGACACATGTGCAGATGTAAGGAGCATTCTCAGATGCTAACATTATGCTCATTCAAAATTTGAAAATGTATGAATATGGGCTGGAGAGATGGCTCAGTGGTTAAGAACACTGGTTGTTCTTGCAGAAGACCCGGGTTTGAATCCCAGCACCCACATGGTAGCT